CCCACCTTCGGTAGCCATGGCAACTGGCGAAACCCGAGAGAGACCCGCGAGAGAGTTCGCGCCGGTGGTGGGGGGCAGGTCGGTGTCAGGGGTCGTCTTAGTCGGCAGTCGGTCTCTGGTCGGCCCCAAGAATAGTCGTATCGAGGCGGTAGTCGAGTATCACCTCTCTTCTCCTCCTCCTCCTCCTGCTGCTGCTTGTGCCGGCACGAGCGCGCTCCGGAACCCACAGGCACACGCGCAGCTTATCGACTGGGTTGCGCGCGCGCGCGCGCCCTCTCCTTCTCTCTTTTTCTCTCACTCTCTTTCTTCGCCTCACTCGCTCTCCCGCTCCCTCCCTCTCTTTCTCCTCTCCACCTTTTCACTCGCCCGTTCCTTCCCCGAGGTCTCTGCCGCCACCTCCACCACCTTCAACCTCCTCCTCCGACCTCCTGTCCTCCGCCGCCGCCGCCGCCCTCCTGCTCGCGGTCGACCGCCGCGGCCGAGCGGTCTCTCTCGCACGTCCGCGGGCTCGATATCCGAGACTGTCGGTCGGTGCTCGTCGCGAGAACCCTCTCCACCTCGCCGGGCGAGAGCAGAGCACCCGCGGCGTCGTGGTGTGCGTGGAGCACACACCCTCTCCGCCCTGTGGCTCGGTGGCTCGTGCCACCGCGCATCCACCCAGCGTCGATATACCACGATACCGCGGATACAACGACGCGGGGATACGCGGCTGATCTACCGCGTGCGCGCGATCGCGATCTCGATCTCGATCCCGATCTCGAGAACTCGACCCTGCGTCCACCGGAACGAGTGTGTGTCCGCCGTTGCGTGCTCGCGAGATTAGTGTGAAGTGCACGCGAACCGCGACCGTCTGCCGCGTCGGAAGTTGCCGCGAGTTTCGAACGTCCGTCGATTCGCCGCGCGGCGTTGCAGTTCGGTGCTCCAGTGGACGACCACGTCGTCGCCGTCGCCGTCGCCGTCGCCGTCGCCGTCGCTGTCGAACGGGAGAAGAACCATCTTCGAGGATGCCGCCGCGCGCGGGACCATACTCCCTAGTGCGCGAGTGTGTGAACCGATTGTAGTGCGTGTGTTTGATCGCGTATATCTGACACCTAGCTAGCCAGCCGAGGTATAGTTGGACGTACATAAAACAGGTATAATAAGAGGGAAGGGTGGTGCGTTAACTGATTAAGAGAGAAAGAAGGCAGGGACGGGAAAAGTGTGAGCGTGACAAGGGAACTGGGCTGTGAAAGAAGAAGAGAAATACACGGAAGCAGGGGTGGTCGGCGGTGGTCGCGTCCGAGAAGAGGAAGCCGGCAGGGTGGTTCGAGGCGGGACAGGAGGCGCTGACGCCCTGGCGACTGCCGG